GTTTCATTTGATGCAACTGCTGCTGCTAACCAAATCGTCACCAAATGTGACGAATTTGCTGGTTGCCACCCAGCGTTGTGGTGAATTTCTTTTTTTACAGCCTGCTTGTGAGGCTCAGCCTGGCTGAACAAGTCTCTGATCCCTAAAGAAGGTGCCCTGGTGCTGCTCACTAGTCCAGACAAACATCGTGATGGGTGTCATGCTGCAGTGGCTGTGAGGAAGCTGCCTTCTCCATTTATCCCCACAGTCCTCCACTTTTAAAAACTTGCATCTGTTGTGCATGAAAAGACCCATATATGTTCTTCTCTTTAAATCTCTGTGCTGACTTAGGTTGTTTATAGCCATTAGTGTGTATTTTTAAAATTATGAAGGATCCCAGAAAACAAAAAATGCTTATGTTTGGGATAGTTGATTATAAATCTTTGACTAGTGGCTAAAGAAATGTTAGGGACTCCTAGATGTACTATAGTGCAGCTTATCCATCTAAGTTAGTTAGGCATTTCTAAACTGGGTAGCAAAATGTAGTTGAGGAAAGTTTTATAATTTCCTTAAGGAAAAAAAGATACATACCAGGAGGCAGAATACATGTGCTGGTATCTGACTCTCTTTAAAGAGAAGCTAAGAAGTGACTATACAAGTCCTATAGATTTGACTGACATTCTTTTACTTCACTGCTCAGTAAGCACTACAACCTACATGTTGGTTGGTGTATGGACAGACACGCATGCCCTTAATCAGGACCCAAGTTTTGTGCATGCATGGTAAATATTTTTGTTCTATCTATTCATTAAGTTTTTCTTTTGCCCTGGAATTACTTAATTCCAGGCATGTTAAAAATAGAGGATTTTTTTTTTAGGCTTTAGGATTGGATTAGTACCTGTTATTGAGTGACTGCTTATATTTTAATTGCGTAACCATGGCAAAGATTGCTGCACACATCCATGTTGTGTCCAGAGAAAACTTGAGCTATCTCCTACCTAAAAGCAGTGGGCCTACATAAGAAGGCATCACAACTGAGGAAGGAGCTGCCCCAGGGGATAGGCACTCTAGCTGAGCAACAACAACAAAGCTTTTGTAGTTGGTTACAAAAGCTGAAGCACCTGCTGACTTTGATGGAGATTAGACTTTTTATAAAAGAGACAGTAGAGAGGCATTTTAATATAGGAGATGGAGGAGTGCTGTTTATCCAAAGGTGGACAGGATCCCAGAATTGTGGAATTCAGCAGTGAGTCCATCTGTCCATCTCTGACATATGTGCTGTATGAGACCCACAGTGATCATAGGAACACATGGCTTTATTTTTATTTGCAAACTGTACACATTCTTATTGCCTTATAGGCAGGGACTGGAAAGGGGACTGGGTAAAGAAGGAAAAAGGATCTGAAACATGAGCAATATTCCCCACACATATTTCTTAAAATCTGCCAGGCTTGGCTGGTTTTTAGAACAACAGAAAGAAACAACAAAGAATAAGTTGCCAGCTGCCATTCCTAAAATACATTCTGCCCTTTTCCTCAAAGAGCTGTGAAAGATGGGGCGGTTGGCAGACAGAAGCAGAAGGGGCAGCCCTTTCCTCCACTGCAGTGTACAGTGTGCTGTCCTGGTGTGTTTAAGGTATTTGAACACACCTGTTTGGCTGCATTCTCCACAGCTGCCAGAGCCTTAGATCAAAGGGATGTGGAAAACTGTATTAATCTGGGGAGCTTCATCCAAAGCTCTTGCTGCCTGCTGATTCCATGCCTGATTGGTGAAGTCTCATTTCCAGTACTTGTTTTCTAGCAACACTCCCTTTTTCATCAGTCCTTTTAAATAATCCTGAAAAAGGAGCAGCAGTGCATAGCAGTCTGCCAGGCAGTTACAAATAAGAAAGGGGAGATCCTTACCATTCATTGAATGTATCTCAAGCTCACAACTCTTTTTCTGAAGCTGTGCAGCAGAAATGAAGCAGGGCAAAATGTAGTGGCTGCACTGGATAGCAGGTAGAGCTGAGGGCATTAACTACAACAGGCTCAAACCTCCAGAGCTGCTGTGCAGAGGCTGCTAAGTAGGGAGAAACAGCTGCAGTTCTGTGCCTGTGTTGTCACCTGAAAAGCAGGGGGTCCTGCTCCATCTTATTGCCTTAGCTGGCTGTGGGAGATGCCCCACTTTGTGCTGAGCAGCTGGCATCACACTTATTTAATCATTGTCAAGTAGCTGTGCTCAGCTGCTGGGTCTCTCCTAGCAAATACCCTGATGTATGGCCACCTGTAACTGCTGTAGAACACACACTTGTCCATTTCCCAGCAACCTAATTTTCACAACCTTTTACCTTATGTTCACTAGTCTAAACCCCTTGGAATTAAAAACAGCACGGAGAAAAATGAGAGTTTATTATTTATCAAAAAGTTCCCTTGTTTCCTACCTGTAAGTGACTCATCTTTGGGATAAGTAGCTAGAAATACATTTTAGGATGGCAAGGTCTTAGAACGTTGTCATGTTTCAACAGCCAACTAATCTATAATGGGCAACAACGGGGTCTTAAAGCAGGTTGGAGTCAGGGCAATGCAGCATCAGAGTTGATGAAAAGTAACTGTTCAAATTCTGGCAATTTGACTAGGGCCTGGGTGTGTTTGGGCAACTGCACCCATTTAAGGCTGCATACTTTTGGCTGATTGGAAGGAAGATAGCGATACAGACCTTTCTTTTTTCAGTGGAAAACTTGCCAATAAATAATTGTTTTTCAAGCTGATCTTTAGACATTGGCCTATCTCATTGCTAAATTAAAGTGAGAATATTAAGCTCTCGAATTGGTAAAGCTGAGAGGTGTTTTTTTGCAGGGACATGCACGTGTCAGATAAATGTCCTTCCTGGTTGCCTGACAGAACTTCTGAGGAGAATGTATTTTGAAAGTCTCTTCAGACACTTGTTTAGTATCTTCACTTGCTGCTTTGTTTCCAGGATGCCAAGTATATGACTCTGGAGACTTGAGCTTCACGCAGGTTCCCAACGATGAGCTCTACAACAACCTGGTTTCGTACCCCCGCTCAGTGGGCTTAGCCAGCCAGGTGGTGGCCGACGCCGTGAGCCGCGCTGTGGCTGGGGGA